TCCCATATTCTGATTGTCTCGTCATCTGAGCAAGTAACAAGTCGGTTACCTCCAGGAAGGTATGCTATTCCACGGACCAAGTCTGTATGCCCGGAATGCGTCTGCACAGGTTTTGGAGTGAAGTCAACTGACTTTTTCGACGTGTTGGACATGCTTGAGAGAGTATCCAAGTAGTTGGAGGGGCGACAATGGACAATTCGAAGCGCGAACTCAAGAAACACTCGGTACCGCGTTCACGTCGAGTTCAAGTTTTTGCCGCTCGAGGATGCAATTGAACGTCGCAATGTGCACACGCCGTAATCAACTACGTCACTCGTTCGTGACGGGCATGCTCCTTAGGGCCTACTAACTGATCATTCATTCCTCGTTGCCAATATTTGCCCCGTTCTCGTTCAAAAGCCGAGTAAAAAAAATTATGTTTGATGAAGGTGAGAGCTGTGGTTCTATCGAGCACCACACTAAGACGCAATCAAAATACCAGACAACGCAAAATTTCCTGGTCAAACCAGTGGCGGAATCCCACCGTCCCCAACGAGGGAGAACCCAGGTCAAGTGAGCACCACCCTTTTCTTATGATGGTCGTCCTTTAGCGTTCGTCGCTTCTAGGTGTACCCAAAAACGGACCCTCAAGGTATTCTGATTTCCATGATTACGCAAATATTGCATGAAACTCACCCGTAACGACGCTTGCATGCTTTACAGCGGCACCTGCGTCAACCGTTCCAGGTACGGGATTCCAACTCGACCCATTAAGCTCTGTCATCGGCAACCCCTATCTCCTCGAGGACGCATTGCGCAGGCTAGACAGCTCCCTCAACGACCTCATTCGGATTGTTCAAGACGAGGAAGCTGCCGTCGGGAGCTCCAGAAAGGAGCTCGAATACTTGAAGAAGTTTCAGAGCTGGAGGGACGAGTTGAGGGTGATGCGTCACCCTCAGAGTAGTTATTACCTGACCTCTGAACAAGCTGTGGTGTCAGAGGGCGGAGATGGGCTGTTTGTTGAATAGGTTTCCTTTGAAGTCCACCCAAGCATGTGTACTGCTCATTCGTTGGAGGGAGAAGGAAGAAGAAGAGGGGCCGACGAGCGTTCCTGCTGCGCGGGGAAATAGGATGTTTTGCAAGTGTTATCAAGCATCTCGGATTTGATCCTGCTGCAAATGGGGGTAAAACGAACGGAGTACATGTCTTGGTGGGGATGGCCATGATAAACTGCCTGTGCATGGCTAGCAGCCGAAGAACAATGATATCCTTGGTCCGAGATTAGGTCCGAAGGTCCGTCTATTCCTGCCTTCATACTAGAAGGCGAAAAAACTGTGATGGGTTCATCAAACCGGAAGACCGCCCGCCCAGGGCTTGTACTGTTGGCTCATTCCAAGAGTCACCGATCCCTTCGCTGAAGAAGCTGTTTGGTCTACGGAGGAAAGGGATGACTTACGCACCTACACATATGGGCAAGATCATCGATGCGCGGTTGCTCACAGAGGATGATTTTCGTGACCGGACGTGTGATGGTGGCCAGGCGGAATCACAGGGATTGAACGTTGTGTAACAATCTCCGAGTCCGCAGAGGACATTTCCCTGGTCCTGCACCGCCTTGTTTCTTGGTTGCTTTCGTCGCATTTGTTAAGTCGGGTCTTTCCCCAGTGTTGTCACTACTTCGTTCTGTTCTGCCCTTGTTTACTCGTTGAACTCGTTCAGTAGTTTTGATCCCTAGTCTAGTAAGTCGTAGTCCCCCGGTTCGACTTTTTTCCACGTGTTGGACGTCCGAGATTCGTATTGAGGTGATGCTGCGCGCATGCAGATCATAGTACTCAAAAACAGAATCGTTGATCAGCAGCGCTGAAGGTGGTAAAATCATGTCATAAAGGTAAAGAAAAGCATATCAAGATACTTGAGCCCATCTATCGATTCGACATAGTCAACGAGTCTCAGTCACGTTCAGACCTCCTCCCCTCTGCTACGTGCCTCTACAAGGCTCAATTCAATCGCCAATCTCAAATCATCATCCATCTCTTCCGGATCTGGCAAGTCCTGTTCGACCTTGGATGTCTCCCTGTTCCGTGCAATGTCGGCGGTTAGGAGAGACATGGCAACGACAGGAGTGGCGATACGAGAGTGGGGGACTGAGGGACCAGGGGAGGGGGGGATGGACTTGAGGGGCGTGTTCCATGCTGAACGAGGCCGATCGGGACTACTAGCTACAGAGGGCTGTGCAGACATGCCTCTAGAGCTAGATGTTGAGGAGAGACTGGAACTGATCACCGGAAAGTCCTCTAGGGAAGACGAAGACGTGCTACGCATAGTTATCGCGTTGCATGGTGTTCCAGGTCCCAGGGCCAGTGACCTCAGCGGACTGATGCTTGTGCCCGCCTCCATTGGTTCTGGAACGAAGGGCGGAGATACATGTACTTTCTCGTTTGAGCTCGGATGCGCGATGCGGGGATACTGGCGGCCATTTGAATGACGGGTAGAGCTCGAAGATGAGGCGTGTGATGATAATGATGTGGATAGTTGTGACTGGGAGGACGTCGATGTACCACGATGATCATCAAAATCGCCCTCAAAGACACCCTCTTCCCTCGCCATTCTCAGCTGACGCTCCTCTTCCTCTTGGCGCGAGAGTATCAGGACATATTCGACGGCCTCCAACTCCGAGAGACCAAGAGAGTCTAAAGTAGATCTGTGCTCTCGCTCGCGGCCATATATACGTTGGACATGTGCTCTTTCATACTCCAGCTCCCCGAACGATTCAGCTATATCTTTGTGCATCTCGTATTGCTCTGCCAAACAGTCAGATGACGAAGAATAGACGCAGTGGAAGACTTACTTTGTCCCTTTGTGGCCAGGCTCTTCTTAGAATGGGAGTGCTTAGGTTTCTTATGCTTGTGCTCGCGTCCGCTAGCCTGCCCAAGGTTCCACGCCATCGCGCGATTTCCTACGATGATCACCACGAGTTCTTTATCGAGTAACACTTGGCTGACGCTGTCCCAGTCGTGTCCAGGAGCGGAGCGAGGAGCAGGTGACGTAAAGTAGCGTAGAGGTTCCAGTGTAAGAGAGTCCCAAACTGTGGTGGTCCCGCGCGCGGAGCCAGTGGCAAACACCATGGGGCTCCAAGAAATGGCAGTAACGCCTCCATCTGTGTGCGCCTCAAACCTGTGCACAGGTGCGAAAAAGGATTGCGAAGACAAGGGAACGTCGGCGTCATAGATGCTAATAAATCCTAGATGATCTCCGATAATCACCGTGTTCCCGTCGTGTTCCTGAGTGGATGTGACTAGCTCTACGACAGAGACGCTGCTGAAAGAACTGTCTCCAAAGGAGGTAGTCGTTATTTCACCGGATTGGATGTCGGCAAAAACGCGGTAGAGCAACGAATGATTGGAATATTGGACGAAGAGCGACGCGCTAGATTCTGTGCTGCGGTACAACCATGTCTTTGCGATGCGTGGTTCTGGTAGTGAGCCATCCGTTTGAACGGGAGGCTGATGCTTATGGTTATGGATTGGAGCGGTGACTCTGAGTTGACGGAGGGCAGAAGCAAGAGGTTCGCCAGTTGTATCTCGTGCCCCCAAGTTGAAGAGGAGGATGTCTCCGCTGTTCAATGCGCCAGCGATGAAACCCTCGCTGAAGCTACCCGCAATACTGACAATCGGGTCCGTTACAAGTGAAACCTGCTGCTTTCCACTCGACCACATGAGCCCAAGAGTGCTGAGGTCCCATAAATTGATACGGCCATCAACTCCGGCAGACACAAGTGTGTTGGAGGTAGGGTCGGGGAGTAGTTGTTGAACAGCGCCTTCATGTTGGTCATCGACGTTGCATCTGATGAACCTGGGTACGGCGCGGCCCGAGTCCATGACTTTATTTGCGACAGTTACTGCGACTTCGCCGTTGCGTTTGCCCCAGAATACACGTGCAGTGCCACCATCAGATGACATTGCACACACGGAAACGTTCGGCGTAAATTCGACGTTGGGGTTCCCAATGCCCAATCCGGTCCCAGAGGCGTCGATATAGCCTTTCAAGATCTTACCGCTAAGCGGCAGTGACCTGGCAACGATACCATACTGGATGGACGATGTGAGGAGGCCATTTTCCGACATTAGGTGCGCTCCGTCAATCGACGAGTCTTGAGGGGTATGGGTGACCGTGGGGTTCCGAGAGCGCTCCCAGCGTCTGATAAGGGGTGGTTTGAGTCTTAGATGATTGATTATACTTCAAAAGAACGCACCGCCTGAAACTATATCGCAGGATGAACTCTTTGCGCCACGTATTCTCCATCCTCTTCAATGAGAGTATTTTCTCGTTCTCGAGCTCACGCTCGGGACTGATCGAGAGGAACTGGTTCAGGAAGGCCCGAAGCCAAGTGTTGTCATCCTTTACGTGTTCATAGAGGGATCTACAAGTTGTAGCGAGTGTAAGAAGAGAGGGCGGTGTGAGATATGAAGTGATATGAGTGAGCGACTCGGCTGGAACGTCGAGTAGGAGGGATTCTGTGCTCTGAAGGTGTCCATGTTGGTGGTGATGATGTGCCGAGGTTTGGAATGCTTTTGCTTCTGAAGTAGATTCGTTCCGGAGAGTATGTATGGGTCTTGTTGGCATATAACGGCGGGAAAGATCACAAAATTTGTTGCGTTCGCAGACAATCGAGCCTGCGAGATAGTGGGAGGGAGTCAACTGAGACCTCTCAATTAGGCGGGTCCTTAAGGAAAAGCGAGAGATGACGTAAGAACGTTCTCATAGCACAACGTTCGAACGTTCGAACCCTACCATGCCCTACTAGTAGACCCTTGTTAGCCTAAGCCCCTGCTATGCTGTATACTGTCAGCTCATGGTGTGGAGCGAGAGTGGGAGGACTTGACATCAGCGGGGAAATTTTCAAGGGCTTCAACGCAGTCAAATATGAAGAACTTGGATTTGGAGACGATGCTACGGCACCGGAATATCATGAATCAATGATTGGTCGTAGTGCAAGCCCCCCCATCAGACACAAAAAGACAAGGCCTTGCCAGGGTTCGAACCTGGGTTTTGAGAACATCGCAAATCATATCGAAATCAGAATCTCAAGTGATAACCACTACACTACAAAGCCGATCGGCGGTTCGGGCTCTCATGATAGCCTGAGTAACTTGAACCTGCCATGCCAGATGGCCAAGTGGTCTAAGGCGTGAGCCCCCCCCGGAGGCGCGATGCAGAGATTGGTGATGAACATATGAAAGGTGCATCCCAACTTAAACTATCGCCAACCGCTACGCTACAGCGTCAGAATCAAGATCCCGACCTGCTCATCATCTCGTCGTCGCGGATAGAGGACTATCCAATCCATGATATCAGTTCCCGAGCAACTGGGCCCCAGAGATGCCCGATGCCAGATGCACGACCAAGTCAATCCGATAAATCTACCTACATAACTTACAATTTTTCTTTCCTCACTATAAAACCAACATGTACCTACACCACAACTGCTCCTCACCACGCAATCCAAGCAATGAACGACTAAAATCCCCCGCATCAGCCTCACCCCCCAAAAAAGACAAGGCAAGACAAAACTCTCACCTTCGGATACGTCCTCACCACCAACTTGCGAAGTTCGTCCATGATCAAAATACCCAACGCAAAACAAAATGGTATACCCCAAAACATCCCAGGGATAGGTCTCATGTAAAACACTTGTTGGAGCCCAGGTCCGTAGAGGTTGATCACCGCGATCAAAGCCGTCGCTAGCATGCTGCAGGGCACGACCAGATTACGGCGCGGGCCCCAGAGTGGGTTCGATTGTAGCATCGACACACGACGGTTTCGGACGGAAAGAAGGCTTCCGTATTGTCCGATGACGAGCGTGACATAGCTGGAGGACCGTTAGATGTTTAACTGTCGGCGAGGTAAGGAGATTTCGGACACGTACTAGATGCATGTACCAACATAGACAAAGCTAGTGAGCTGGTCGGCCGTGAAGCCCTGCCAACCGTCCTGCCATCTGTTGTAGACCAGAATGACGTCATAGAAACCAAGACCTTGTTGGTGCATGTACAAGAACCACATTGCCATGGCAGACGGCCACAGCATCAGCCCGATGAACTGCCAAACCATCAGATGTATCCCCGATACCTTTGTGCTCGCGACTCACCAGATAGACTTGCACGAAAAGGCGCCAATCCGTCAAGCGGTCAGTTCGTGCATTACGAGGCTTTCGCAACATGAGGTCTTCAAGGGGATCAGGACTGATACAAGCACAGTAGCCCGAGGTTGGACATACCCGCTTCTGGCTTCTCGTACATCAAACATATGGACATGACAACGTCATTAGTGATACAGAAGCAGACCTGTTGGTAGGTTGTCATGGGCAGTTGCATGCCAAGAACAACATTCGTGAAGACTGCCATGAACTCGGTGTAGCTTCCGGCCTGAGGAACCCGCGTCAGCGTGTATTTGCAGAGGAAAAGAGGTCTACTTACCGGCATCAAATACAAGGTAACTTTCTTGAGGTTGTCAAACACAAGGCGACCCATCTCAATGGCGACTGGTATCGACGCAAAATCATTTTTGAGCAAGATCAAGGCGGCTTTGAAATTAAGCATGAGCGACATGTACGACATCTGTAAGCGGACACACGTACCAGCCTCCTTTGCGACGTCACTTCCGCTTCCCATAGCGACACCAATGTCAGCAGCTTTCAGTGCAGGCGCATCGTTAACACCATCTCCGGTTACTGCCACTGTGTTATCTCCGCGAAATTTGATTTCTTCGACGATCTTCATCTTCTGGTCGGGAGTGGTACGCGCAAAGACGATTTCCGTGTAGACGCCAGCAATGATATCCCAGTCTGCGGGCGTCAGAGAGGAGACATCTGCGCCGGTCAGTACGAGGGCCCTTATGGGATCATCCTCGCCCGGTTTGACAGCATGACGGGACACGGGGGGAGCCTTCTCAGAGGCCGCTGCTCTGACATCGTCGATCGTATCAATCTGTTGTTGGGAGACAATTCCGACCTAAAAATCAATTAATTTTGAGTACATGACAGCGGGGAGAGTGCATAGACATCCACCTGACGAGCGATTGCCACGGCAGTTAGCTTGAAGTCGCCAGTGACCATGAAGACCCGAACGCCGGCCCGTCTGATCGTCTCAATAGCAGCAGGGACATCCTCACGAGGAGGATCACGAATACCGACGAGCCCAACCAGCGTGAGGTCTTCCATCTCCGAATACATCAATTCCTCCATCGTGTTCGGTGGCAGTCCAAACTTGAATCCGTCCAGGGATTTACGACAGCTGCGGTGAAGTATTAAGCAAAGAGTTGCACACGATATGAACAAGCTCAGACTTACAGTGCAAGGACTCGCTTGCCTTCGCTTGACCACTCATTCTGGAGTGCGCCCAGCCTCTGTCTTTCACTCTCGCCGAATGGTATGGAAGTACCGTCGCTTCGTAATACACTACCGCAGGAGTTGAAGAGCACATCTGGAGCACCTTTGATGAGTATCCATGCTGATTCTGGCTGCTTCTCTGCATCATTTCCTTCGGTGATGACAGTCAAGGCCCACTTGTTACGGGAGTTGAAAGGGATCTCAAAGTTCTTTGTCCAAGATTGAGAGAGGCTGGCTGCGCTAATATCAAGACTTGGGATCGAAAGGCTCTCGGAGAAGCGGAGGAGTGCGGTGTCGGTTGGGTCACCCTTCACCGTGCGTTCTTCTACAGGGCTGTTTATGGTAATGGCGTCGAACTTGGCGGCGTTGCATAGCCGAGCGATCTGGTGGAGTGCTTTGAGAGCAGCGAACATGGTGGGCTCGGCAGCTTTGGAAATCGTCTCATGAATGCTGCGAACGGCCAAGTGATTGTCGAAGAAGGCGATATTCTCGACCATCTTTAGGAAACAAGTGAGCATACAAACGCAAGTCTGGAATATGTTTTATGGGGTGACGAACCATCTTTCCTGCGGTGAGCGTCCCCGTTTTGTCCGAGCACAAGACGGACATACATCCGAGCGTCTCGATCGTGGCCAAGTTTTTAACCAAGACATGGCGTTTGGCCATGCGGCGAGCCACGACGGTCAAAGAGAGGGCGACGCAAACAGGCAGTCCCTAACGAGATCAAAGTTCATAAGGGAGTATAGGAGATAGGTAGTGAAATACACCTGAGGGACAAAGGCTGTGAGACATCCGATGGAATTCACGATGGCGGTACTCGTTGTGTCATAGCCAGGGTACGTCGTCCTCAACCAAACACCGTAGAGGAGGAGGGACAAGCAGAAAAAGAACAGGGCGAAAACGGAGATGATCTTTGTGAAGAACCAAACCTCTTTCTGGATAGTAGTTAGCTTGAACTTCTTTTCACCGGACATTGACACCAAACGGCCCATGACGGTCCTGTCTCCGGTAGCAAATGTGACCCCAGCACAGGTACCCTGCACGACGAATGTCGGTGTCAAAGCAAGGTTGCGGGTTTCAAGGGCATTGTCGGAGGTTGCGTCCAAGACACCGGGAATCATGTCGCTGTAAGGTGGTTAGGTGTGTCATGTACAAGTATTTGAGCCGCTGGCAAAACTCACCTCTCACCGGTAAGCAGGGAGCGATCGAAACGAAGGTCAGAAGAAGCCTGTACGATCCTGAGATCCGCTGGGACACGGTCACCGGGTGCCAGGATGACCACATCGCCCACAACAATATCACACGCGGGTATCAGTTGTTGTTTTCCATCGCGGATAACGGAGGCCTCTTCGGCAATGAGTGATTTAATGGACTTCATGATTCGGTTGGCGTTCCAATCCACCAGAGCATAAAAAGTGGCTGAAACGATAATGACGAGGAGCTGGAGAAGGGGAAATGATAAGTAATAATTAGATATATGCAGTGAGAGCGCTCACCAGCAAAATAGCAACGCCAAGAACGAATACTTGAGGGTTTGGTTCACCCAGGGGTTTATAGGACAACTGAAGAAATAACAGTGAGACTTTGAGTTCCAGTGCATGACCGAGACACTGACGATGGTCAAGATGAATGCAATCCACATGAGGAAGTTGAAGCCGCCAAAGACATAATTGAGGGCCTTCCTCCAGTATTGAGTTGGAGGGGGACTGATAACGTTTCTGGCGTCCTTTGACTTGCGTTGGATCGCAGCAATTTCTAAACCGTGACTCGGATGGGTAGAGTAACGAGTATAGACATCCTCTGGGGTGATGAGGTGGACATCGATACTTGCAATCGCATCAGCGGGGTCTTGGCTGACTTTGGGCTTTGCGGGCAGTTGCCGTTCTTCTACACGAACGGAAAGGGTCCGATAGCTGAAATAACCGCAAGGGTCGACGTCTGGGACCACCCATTTCATTAAGAAGGAACGTACCCGATCTGAATGTCATAACCCGGGGCTTTGTCGACAGCTGGCCTAGCACCAGAAGTCGAAACCTTGGTATCGGTCTTTGGAAAGTTCATCGAGATTGGAAAGTGGTCCCACTACTAGCACCATGATCAGACGGTTTTATCCTCAGCCTTAAGTATTCTTCAGGGTGACATGTTTATTGTGAGGGTTGACACTGGCAGTGTAGCGGCTATCGAGTTGTTTTCGCCATTCAAGAGCCTCAAGCGGCGGAGTGTTGTGAGCCTATTTCGCGATTTGTACTTGTCGATCAATATTATGTAATTGTCGATTGTCATGACATCATTCATCTTGTGAGACCGCCACCTCTCAGCCTCCCAGCTCGCAATGTTAACTACCAGTGAGCACGGAGAACCAAGCGCCCTTATAGAACGACGTGTTCCACTGAAGATCAAGCTACCTTCGACGCCAGAGATTCAACCTATTCAATCATGTCGTTCTCACGTACTCACCACCAGGTGCTTACCCTCGCTCCATTCGCAAAAAGACCTCTGTCCGGGTTCCATATCAGAGCAGCTGGGAGCACTTGGCGAATGAGCTTATCTGTATACGAAACCACAGTTGAACCCTGCAACAGCTTGAACTCAAAGTGGTCACAGTCTCCAAGGCGCCAAGCCGCGATCATGATGGTCAAGGTAGGTTACCATTTTCCTGATCGATCGATGAATCCTGCCAGGCCTCCGTGGTTGTAACTCCGTCAGTTATTTTCCAAGTTGTAGAA